AACAACCATGGTGACATTACACATCCCTTTCTAAGACCTACTTTTACTGGGAAGTAATCTCCCTCGTTCCTCCATACCTTAACCTGAGCCTCACTATCCTCATAAAAACTCTTTACAGCATTTAGTAACTTACTACCTATTCCATACACTTGCAACATCTGCCACATTGCTCCCCTGTCCACTCTATCATATTTTTTTTTTTTTTTTTTTTTTTTTTTTTCAACAAGTCGGCCGTCTCCCACCGAGGCAGGGTGACCCAAAAAAGAAAGAAAATCCCCAAAAAGAAAATACTTTCATCATCATTCAACACTTTCACCACACTCGCACATTATCACTGTTTTTGCAGAGGTGCTCAGAATACAACAGTCTAGAAGCATAAACATATAAAGATACACAACATATCCCTCCAAACTGCCAATATCCCAAACCCCTCCTTTAAAGTGCAGGCATTGTACTTCCCATTTCCAGGACTCAAGTCCGACTATATGAAAATAACCGGTTTCCCTGAATCCCTTCACTAAATATTACCCTGCTCACACTCCAACAGATCGTCAGGTCCCAAGTACCATTCGTCTCCATTCACTCCTATCTAACACGCTCACACACGCTTGCTGGAAGTCCAAGCCCCTTACCCACAAAACCTCCTTTACCCCCTCTCTCCAACCCTTTCGAGGACGACCCCTATCATATACCTTTTCTAAATCCATAAATGCAGTGAAAATTTCCCTACCTTTTTCTAAATACTGTTCACATATATGCTTCAATATAAACACTTGATCTACACATCCCCTACCCACTCTAAAGCCTCCTTGCTCATCTGCAATCGTACATTCTGTCTTACCTGTAATTCTTTCAATAATAACCCTACCGTACACTTTTCCTAGTCTTTCTTTCTTTCAACACACCGGCCGTATCCCACCGAGGCGGGGTGGCCCAAAAGGAAAAACGAAAGTTTCTCCTTTTACATTTAGTAATATATACAGGAGAAGAGGTTACTAGCCCCTTGCTCCCGGCATTTTAGTTGCCTCTTACAACACGCATGGCTTACGGAGGAAGAATTCTGTTCCACTTCCCCATGGAGATAAGAGGAAATAAACAAGAATAAGAACTAGAAAGAAAATAGAAGAAAACCCAGAGGGGTGTGTATATATGTGCTTGTACATGTATGTGTAGTGTGACCTAAGTGTAAGTAGAAGTAGCAAGACGTACCTGAAATCTTGCATGTTCATGAGACAGAAAAAAGGACACCAGCAATCCTACCATCATGTAAAACAATTACAGGCTTTCGTTTTACACTCACTTGGCAGGACGGTAGTACCTCCCTGGGCGGTTGCTGTCTACCAACCTACTACCTATAACTTTTCCTAGTATACTCAGTAAATTATTTCCTCTGTAATTTTTACAATCTCTTTTGTCCTCCTCCCCTTTATATAGAGGAACTATACAGGCTGTCTGCCAATCCCTAGGTACCTTCCCCTCTTTCATCCAATTATTAAACAAAAATACTGACCACTCTAACACTATATCTCCCCCTGCTTTTAATATTTCTGTCATAATCCTGTCAGTTCCAGCTGCTTTACCCCCTTTCATTCAATGTAATGCTTCATTCACCTCCCCTACACTCACATCTTGCTCTTCTTCACTCCTAAAAGATGTTATGCCTCCCTGAATAGTGCATGAAATTACTGCCTCCTTTTCTTCGTTGACATTTAAAAGTTCCTCAAAATATTCCTGCCATCTCCCCAATACTTCCAGCTCCCCATCTACTAACTTCCCTACTCTGTTTTTAACTCACAAATCCATTTGTTCTCTAGGCTTTCTTAACTTGTTTATCTCACTCCAAAATTTTTTCTTATTTTCAGCAAAATTCCTTGACAGTGCCTCTCCCACTCTTTCATCTGCTCTCCTTTTGCACTTTCTTACCACTCTCTTCACCTTTCTTTTACTCTTTATATACTCTGCTCTTATTACAACATGTCTGTTTTGTAAAAACCTCTCATATGCTACCTTTTTCTCTTTCATCACACCCTTTACTTCATTGTTCCACCAATCACTCCTCTTTCCTCCTGCACCCACCCTCCTATAGCCACAAATTTCTGCCCGACATTCTAATACTGCATTAAATAATTAAATTTCTTCTAAAATGCTTTGTGATATAATTTGCCAATACGACATGGCATTGGGTATATCCATATTACCCACTAGTACAATATTTGTGTCTCTTATCAAGCACCGTTACATAAATTATTTGTTAGATAAAACTGTGAGATGAGTATCAGCATTAAAAATTAGAATTCTCTGAAAAATTTGTATTAATGTTCAGCATTTAATACTCATTTTATCATACTATTAATTATGTGCCTTGATGGTTTTCTTCTTTTTCTTTTTAGTAGGCTATACAGGAAAAGGGGTTACAAGCCCATTGTTCCTGGCATTTTAGTTGACTTTTACAACACACATGGCTTATGGAGGAAAGATACTTATTCCACTTCCCAATGATATAAAAGGAAAAGCAATAAGAATAAGAACTATTAAAATAAAATCAAAGAAAACACAGATGAGTGTGTATATATAAACTTCTTTCAACACACCGGCCGTATCCCACCGAGGTGGGGTGGCCCAGAAGGAAAAACGAAAGTTTCTCCTTTTAATTTAGTAATATATACAGGAGAAGGGGTTAATAGCCCCTCGTTCCCGGCATTTTAGTCGCCTCTTACAACACACATGGCTTACGGAGGAAGAATTCTGTTCCACTTTCCCATGGAGGTAAGAGGAAATAAACAAGAACTAGAACTAGAAAGAAAATAGAAGAAAACTCAAAGGGGTGTGTATATATATGCTTGTACATGTATGTGTAGTGTGACCTAAGTGTAAGTAGAAGTAGCAAGACGTACCAGAAATCTTGCATGTTTATGAGACAGAAAAAAGGACACCAGCAATCCTACCATCATGTAAAACGATTACAGGCAGTACCTCCCTGGGCGGTTGCTGTCTACCAATCTACTACCTAGGGTATATATAAACATGTACATGTATGTGCAGTGTGACCTAAGTATAAGTAGAAGTAACAAGACACCTGAAATCTTGTATGTTTATGAGACAGAAAAAAGACACCAGCAATCCTACCATCATGTAAAACAATTACAGGCTTTACTTTTTTACACCCACTTGGCAGGATGGGGGTAAAGGAGGTTTTGTGGGCTAGGGCTTGGACTTCCAGCAAGTGTGCATGAGCATGTTAGATAGGAGTGAATGGAGAGAATGGTTTTTGGGACCTGACGAGCTGTTGGAGTGTGAGCAGGGTAATATTTAGTGAAGGGATTCAGGGAAACCGGTTATTTTTATATAGCTGGACTTGAGTTCTGGAAATGGGAAGTACGTACAGTGCCTGCACTTTAACCCTTTCAAGGTTGGTGCCGTACTAGTATGGCTTGCACGTCAGGGTTGGTGCCATTTTTGTACGCATAAATTCTAGCGCCTTCAAATATAGCAAGAGAAAGCTGGTAGGCCTACATATGAAAGAATGGGTCTATGTGGTCCGTGTGCACAGTATAAAAAAAATCCTGCAGCACACAGTGCATAATGAGAAAAAAAAAAAAAACTCCGACCATGTTTTTGCTTTAAAAGAGCGACTTTGCAGTGTATTTTCGTATGCTATTTATGGTTGTATTCTAGTTTTCCTGGTCTCATTTTATAGAATGCAAGACATATTACAGAAATTGAGATGATTTTGATTGGTTTCACAATGAAAAGTACCTTGAAATTGAGCTCAAAGTAGCAGAAATGTTCGATTTTTACCAAAGTTCAAAAGTGAACAAATCATGCCATACATCCAATACACATCAACTGGTGAGTCTAATATTCTTTCACAAGTGTGCTGACTTTATTTATACCATTTCTACACTAATGCAGTAGTCTGCATAACAGTAAATCTTCTATTTTTTGTGAGAATAAAAATTCGAAGTGAATACCAAAAGAAATGTAAGAGAGGCCTGGGGGCATGACTAATGAACGGAAAAAATGTTATTTTAGTGCCTGGAATGTCTGTCTTGTTTATTCTGGACCCTATTTGGAAATTGGCATCTTATGAAATTTGTGTGAAATTGGCAAAATTGCCAATTTCTGACCACTTTATTGGATAGTTCAAATTGGTAAATGGGTGGTTTCTTGTACTCATTCGATAGAAAAAAATGGAATTCTAGTGAAATAGTTATGATTTTTCTCAACTGGTACGGGAATTGGCTGAAAATAGGGCTCAAAGTGGTTGAAATTGCCGATGCATAAACATTGTCGAGACTGCTAACTTCGTGAGAGCATAATTCCATAAGTTTTCCATCCAATTTCATACTTTTGGTGTCATTATGATTGGGAAAATATTCTCTATCATTTCATATTTTTTTTTTTTTTTTTTTTTCGAAAAATTTCTGACCCTGAGAACAAGTTTAGGAGAGGGCCTGTCAACCCTGAAGGGGTTAAAGGACGGGTTTGGGACATTGGCAGTTTGGTGGGATGTGTAATAGGGTGGTATATATATAATTGGGGGCCCTGATGTTGTAATTACGTATTTCAAATCAAATTTTGTGTTGTATCTTTATATATGCTTCTAAACTATTGTATCTGGGTGCTTCTGCAATACCAGTGATTATGTATGAGTGAGGTGAAAGTGTTGAATGATAAAAGTATTTTCGTTTTGGGGATATTCTCTCTTTTTGGGTCACCCTGCCTAGGTGGGAAATGGCCAACTTGTTGGAAAAAACAAAAACAATGTGCTTAACCATTATGTGTTTAATCTTTTGGCTTTACAAGATGTGAGAGAATACAGTGTACATTAATACTGTACTGCTAATTTTGGTTTCCTGGATTTTGGAGTGTGGAGTTTTCAGAAATGTTCATGGATTAAGCGTCAGTTTAACTATAAGGAAGGAGAAAGGGAAGATAAAGAGATTAGAGGATACCATTACTTTGTTGATATATAAATAACGTAAAAATGTTATTCGCAGATGGAAGATTCCTTTCAAGCTTTTTCAACACACGGAGATGACAACCATGAAGAGTGGACTAGAACTCACATTACTTTTGATGAAGAAGGAAATTTTGAATCTTCAGCAAGCGTTAAAGGATATTTAAAGACACAGGAAGCAGCTAACCATGTAACTACTTGTAACTGATTTTCTTTTTAATTTTTATTGTGATGGTTTTGACTGTGTGTCAGTATATGCATGTAAAAATGGGAGTGTTAGAATGTTTGCTGTAATGCTGTGTTCTAATCCCTATGGTGTGAATATTTTATTGATAAATACAGTAGACTCACACGACACAGAGGTTATCTTCTGAAAAGGACATTTTGTGTTAAGTCCATGTTAAGTGAACTAAAAGATGGGGGACAAAATAGTCAATTTCTTAGGGACCTTTAAAAAAATACAGAATTATCTAAATAATTTCCTCTTACCTTAAATTTTGGTTGGTTGTGCTTTTTGGTCTTGACATGTGTTGAGAGGGTTGGTGTAGCTATACCTGGCTAAGGTGGGTGACTGTTACTCTTGGGCTGAGGTGGATGGTTGTGGTTCTTGGGCTTATGTGAATGGCTGCAGCTGTCAGGTTGATATCAGTGCAGAGTTGTTAGTAAGTGATTGTTGTATTGGAGTTGGGTTAGCTGTGCTCTGTTTTACCCAGAAACAGTTCTTTATGCAGTTGGCAGTAAGGCATAATTGCCTGCTTCAAAGTGCACTTCACAGCAGTACTTCTAAATACAGTGGAACCTCAAAAATCGAACTGCTCCCAACACGACCAGTTATGTGAGTATATTTTTGTAAGTGCTTTTATAAGTGTATTTTTGAGGGTCTGAAATGGACTAATCTAATTTACATTATTCCTGATGGGAATAAATTCATTCGGTAAAGGCACTCGAACAGCCTTCTGGACCGAAGAAAGTTCGATATTTGAGGTTCCACTGTATATCATGGACCTTTTCACTGCGAAAGCCTGCATCTGTACCAGTATTATGCAGCATCTCGTGTATATTTTGTAGTGTCATCTGTGTATGTTCAGGGCCTTTCTTGTTGTATTTTGTTATCTGCCTCCTCTCTATCTTGGAACTGAGCTCCTCCAACATTTCTTCTTTGTCATCGTCTTGTATCTGTTAATTTATGTCTTCTGCCTGCACATCTTCAAACCCCTACCTCCTCTTTCCCCTCACCTGGCACTGTCTTTGCCAGATTCACAATTTCCTGGACCTGGCTGTCTATTGAGGGGAAAGCCTGCAAAATTAGTCACCGCACATGATCGTATTTTTCTCAATCTTCTGCTGCTGCCGCCACTGCTACTGCTGCTGATGCTTCTTCTTCTGCTGTTGCTGCTACTTTTGCTGCTGCTGCTGCTTCTACTTTACACCCACTTGTAACAATAATGGTCTGAGACAGACTAATATGTCATCTGAAGTTTCTTCTTGTAGCTTGGGTTATATTGCACCAGCAACAGTACTGTGACTTCTTATTCTACAGTACACATATATTTAGAGGACTGCAAATTATTTAAAAATTAGTTTCATATCAAAAGTTTCCATTCATCATGAGTGTTGTGCCAGTGTTCAGCAGCATCATGAAAGGTTTTATAGATTTTTGTAGGTGAGGCATATCATTAAACTTTGCTTCACCTCAGTCTAGAACACTTCATGTTGTTCCTTTTTAAACCAGAACATTACTTCACTCTAAACCAGAATCCAGAGACAACAGAAAGATCGGCGTGGAGGGAAATGACAGCCGAGCACCAGCTGGTCAACTATGGAGTAACTGATGAGTCTCCCCCACCAGATGTTCCCCAAGAGGTTCATAAATATTGGGCTCAGAGGCATCGTTTGTTTATCAAATATGATGAAGGCATCAAATTGGACCAAGGTGATTAACATTGTTCTATTTATGTTAAGCCAACAGTGGATGATACATTTCCGAGGTGTTATGAAATACAGTATACAGTGGTACCTTGACTTACGAGTGCCCCAACTTACGAGTTTTCCGAGTTAAGAGCCATCACTTGGTTGATTTTTTTGCTTTGGGTTGCGAGCCAAAATCCGAGTTACAAGCGAGCTTCAGATGTGCCGCCACTCACAGAAGAGAGGAAATATCAAAAACGTCGATAATAACCAATGTGTAACATCCTTTCAATTTTGATACCACTAGTATTGTCATCCTGCCAGAATGTTCTATAATATATGCCCTAAGTAAAGAGAAACAATTCTGGAATGTGTAATACATGTTCAGCAGGCTGGCTGGCCAGCTGGCTGATTTGCTTTGGCTGTCTCTATCTCCTTCTCTCTGTCTGTATCTATCTTTGTCTCTGTGTATCTGTGTGTCTGTCTTTGTCTTTGTCTCTCTCTCTCTATCTCACAGGTACACATAAATACAGTTATAGTGTAAATTACCTAGGATAACCCAAAAATTTAGACAAAGTGCTATACTATGCTTGTAGATATAAGGCATAATAAGCATGACTGGCAAGTAATACACATTTTCACTTGTTCAGGAATCAGACGTGACCAACTCTGCATCGTGTGTAATACCTGTTTGTTCATGAGCATCTCTCTCTCTGAGACAGAGACACAAGCAGAGAGACAGGAAGACAGAAACACAGGCAGACAGAAACAGGCAGAGATAAACATAGAGCTAGACAGACAAATAGAAAGAAATGGATATACAGAAACAAACAGATAGACAGACTGTTTATTTGTAACAGTGAAAAATAAATCCAAGGCAGTGCACGATCATCACATGTCACTCCACGAGTGTCGCTAAACTGGCAGTGGAGTGACACTCATATTACATTATGCTTCAAAGAGTTTCATATATACTTCAGCATTTCTAAAACATTGCTGGGACCTGGCAAAAAAGGCAAAAATCATTTCTTATTTATAAATACATTTCTTACTTAAAAACCTGTAACAAAAAAATTGGGGTGGTTTTTTGGGGGCTGGAATGGATTAATGGCATTTCAATTAATTTCACTGAGGAAAACTGATTTGATCTATAAGCAAATTGAGTTACGAGTTGGGTCACAGAACGAATTAAACTCGTAAGTCAAGGTTTGTTCATATACTGTATTTCATATAGGGTGTTGAGGAGAGAGGTGGGATTTAATTATGGGGAATCAAATACAAAATGGGAGTTGGCACAGTTACTTTTTGCTGATGATACTGTGCTTTTGGGAGATTCTAAATAAAAGTTGCAAAGGTCAGTGGATGAGTTTTGGAGGGTGTGTAAAGGTTGAAAGTTGGAAGTAAACATAGATAAGAGTAAGGTGATGAGGGTATGAAATGATTTAGATAAAGAAAAATTGAATATCACATTGGGGAGAGGGAGTATAGAAGAAGAGAATGTTTACAGATATTTGGGAGTTGACTTGTCAGCAGATGGATTTATGAAAGATGAGGTTAACCATAGAATTGACGAAGGAAAAATGGTGAGTGGTGCGTTGAGGTATCTGTGGAGACAAAAAACGTTATCCATGGAGGCAAAGAAGGGAATGTATGAAAGATAGTGGTACCAACACTCTTATATGGGTGTGAAGCTTGGGTTGTAAATGCTGCAGCGAGGAGGCGGCTGGAGACGGTGGAGATGTAATGTCTAAGGACAATGTGTGGTGTAAATATTATGCAGAGAATTCGGAGTGTGGAAATTAGGAGGAGGTGTGGAGTTAATAAATGTATTAGTCAGAGGGTTGAAGAGGGGTTGTTGAGGTGGTTTGGTCATTTAGAGAATATATCAAAGTAGAATGACTTGGAGAATGTATAAATTTGTTGGGGAAGGAAGGCCGGGTAGGGATCATCCATGAAAAGGTTGGAGAGAGGGAGGTAAAGGAGGTTTTGTGGGTGAGGGGCTTGGACTTTCAGAAAGCATGCATGAGCATGTTAGGAGTGAATGGAGACGAATGGTTTTTGGGACCTGACGAGCTGTTGGAGTGTGAGCAGGGTAATATTTTGTGAAGGTATTCATTGAAACTGGTTAGCCAGACTTAGAGTCCTGGAAATGGGAAGTACAATGCCTGCACTTTAAAGGAGGGGTTTAGGATATTGGCAGTTTGGTGAGACTTCTAAACTGTCGTATCTGAGCACCTCTGCATAGTCATTGTTTATATATGAGTGATGGTGAAAATGTTGAATAATGATGAAAGTTTTTTTTTTTTTTTTTTTTTTTTTGGTCACTCTGCCTTAGTGGGAAACGACCGATGTATTAAAAAAAAAAAATGTTCATAGATCTTAGGTAGTAGGTTGGTAGACAGCAATCGCCCAGGAAGGTACTACTGTCCTGCCAAGTGAGTGTAAAACGAAAGCCTGTGATTGTTTTACATGATGGTAGGATTGCTGGTGTCCATTTTTCTGTCTCATAAACATGCAAGGTTTCAGGTATGTCTTGCTGCTTCTACTTACACGTAGGTCACACTACACATACATGTACAAGCATATATATACACACACTCCTCTGGGTTTTCTTCTATTTTCTTACTAGTTCTTGTTCTTGTTTATTTCCTCTTACCTCCATGGGGAAATGGAACAGAATTCTTCCTCCGTAAGCGATGCGTGTTGTAAGAGACGACTAAAATGCCAGGAGCAAGGGGCTAGTAACCCCTTCTCCTGTATATATTGCTAAATGTAAAAGGAGAAACTTTCGTTTTTTCTTTTCGGCCACCCCGCCTCAGTGGTATACGGCTGGTATGTTGAAAGAGAAGAAACATGCAAGATTTCAGGTATGTCTTACTACTTCTTTTTACACGTAAGTCCCACTACACATGCATGTACAAGCATATATATATACACACCCCTCTTGGTTTTCTTCTATTTTCTTACTAGTTCTTGTTCTTATTTATTTCCTCTTATCTCCATGGGGAAGTGGAACAGAATTCTTCCTCCATAAGCTACGTGTGACGTGAAAGGTGACTAAAATGCCAGGAGGAAGGGGCTAGTAACCCCTTCTCCTGTATACATTACTAATTTTAAAAGGAGGAACTTTCATTTTTCCTTTTGGGCCACCCTGCCTTGGTGGGATACGGTTGGTTTGTTGAAAGAAGAAGAACATATATATACACACCCCTTTGGGTTTTCTTGTATTTTCTTACTAGTTCTTGTTTATTTCCTCTTATCTCCATGGGGAAGTGAAACAGAATTCTTCCTCCGTAAGCCATGCGTGTCATAAGAGGCAACTGAAATGTCTGGAGCAAAGGGCTAGTAACCCCATCTCCTGTATATATTACTATATTTAATAGGAGAAACTTTCATTTTTCCTTTTGGGCCACCCCGCCTCGGTGGGATGTGGCTGGTTTATTGAAAGAAGATGTTCATAGATTATTGAAGTTGAATATTTAAGTTAATCAAACATGAAAATATTATAAGCAAGCAGTTACCATTCATTTAGTGGCTAGGCCGGGAATTAAGGTTAATAGTGTACTAGTTGCACTAATAATATTAAAGAAACTAGTTACAGTGGTACCCCAAGTTTTGTCCATAATTTGTTCTGGAAGGCTGTTCGAGTGCCATTACTGAATGAATTTGTTCCCATAAGGAATAATGTAAATTAGACTAATCCATTACTGACCCCCAAAAATACACTTACATAATTGTTTGAGTTGGGAGCTGTACGAAACTTGGGGTACCGCTGTGGTTAAAATAGACTCACATGCAACGCAGAACTTTTATAGCCCTACCTGTACAACACACTTTTTTTCAGTTGTTGAAAAGATCTATTTTTTTTTTTTATTAACACATCGGCTGATTCCCACCAAGGCAGGGTGGCCCGAAAAAGAAAAGCTTTCATCATCATTCACTCCATCACTGTCTTGCCAGAGGGGTGCTTTACACAACAGTTACAAAACTGCAACATTAACACCCCTTCTTCAGAGTGCAGACACCGTACTTCCCATCTCCAGGACTCAAGTCTGGCCTATTGTATACGTAAAACTTTGCCTTAATAAAATTCTGCTCGGCATTTATGTCTCAACCATTCTCTCGGCTATGTCCCATCTCTCCAGAAATTTAATAATAATTATGCTTTTATGTAGAAGAACTGAAGGTGATAGATTATGTATTGTGTGTATTAACAGATGAAGTTTGGTTTGGGTGAGGTTTAGCACTCCACTTTTTGTTGAGAATTATATTTTTTGTTTACTTCAGAATCATGGTATTCTGTGACTCCCGAGTTGATTGCTGCTCACCATGCTAATAGATGCAGGTGTGATGTGGTGGTGGATGCCTTCTGTGGAGCAGGTGGCAATGCTATACAGTTAGCCATGACTTGTAACTATGGTAAGTGCTTTTCCTAGTAATATTGGCACCTTTTTTTTAGATGACATAATTGGCTTGACAAAATTTGTTACGTGAACATTTATTCAGTTGTCTTGAAAATAGAGGGATGTACTACCCATGGATGCACTGTCAAGGGGGTAAATAGATAGTTGTCTATGGAAGTAAATATTTGGAGAAAATAGGAGATTTCTGTCTTTCATTAATGATTTTCATCTGACTACACTCCTTCAGTTTTCCCTCTGTGTTTTTGGTCCTATCTATTGTGGTCCCTTAGCTCTCCTGCAGTGTTCCTTTTTCTTGTCCTTAGACTTAACCCACTTCTACTGCTGCTCCATTGCTACTATTGCTCCTACCACTACAATTGCCTCCCTTCACTCCCTTTCTATTTCTTGTGCCATTAAAACTACTCTCCCTACTTTCTACTACCACTGCTATTTCTATTACTATTTCCACTAACAGCATTACCACTACCACTACTACTGCTATTTCTTCCTCACTGTTCTGTCCCTGTCCCCCTCACCTATATATACTGGCTCCTTCACTCTTTTGTGTTAGTGTGACTTGTAAATGGTCCAGATCGGACTGAAACATCCTTGTAAGGTTCTCCCTCCTATGTGTGACTTATTTGTGCATTGTTCTAGTCACGGTATTGTGCCTTTTTGTTCTTTAAGGAGCAGTAGTTGGTGTTAGACTCACACAGTGATGACCCTTAACAACTATCATCAACCCCCCTTCCCCACACATTCATACTTTATGACAAAGTATGAGTGTACCAATCTAAACTGATGCACAAATGTATGTGTATGAAGTAGGTACTGTATACACACTATATCCAGGTTCTTTTCAGTTTTTAACCTTTATGCAAATGAAGAGAGATAAAGCGTATATAAATTTTGGTGATTGTACTTCTCAGATAGGTGCAGAACCTGTCAACTCAGGTTCTGCACCTGTCTGCTAGTCATTTCTTTATTACAAAATAAAAATTTAACACTTAAATTGATGCACAGTATGTATAATATAAATCAGGTACTGTATTCACATTGTTTTATTTCCCCTCCATAACCTGATTATGCAAATATAAGGAAGCAAAGGATATATAAATCTTGGAGTTCCTCTTAATTTGTATATAAACATTATCTCCAGGATCCTAATATTTTAGCACTGTGTAATTTTAAAAATAGGTTGGATAAATACATGAGTGGGTGTGGGTGGGTGTGAGTTGGACCTGACTAGCTTGTGCTACTAGGTCGGATGCCGTGCTTCCCCCTTAAGTGACGTGTCTGACCTCACTAGGTCAAGGCATTGGCTTAAGCTTGAAAATGAAAAGCAGGGGTGCCACGAGTACATTGAAAGACAACACAATAAGTGTCTGGGGCCCAAGACTGTTCAACTACCTCCCAGCATACATAAGGGGGATTACCAATAGACCCCTGGCTGTCTTTAAGAAGGCACTGGACAGGCACCTAAAGGCAGTACCTGACCAACTGGGCTGTGGTTCATATGTCAGTTTGCATGTGGCTGGCAGTAACAGCCTGCTTGATCAGACCCTGATCCACCATGAGGCCTGGTCTCAGACCGAGCCGCGAGGGCGTTGACCCATGAAACCCTCTCCAGGTAAATTCCAGGTAGCCTTTTTGTACTGGCTTTTAGCTATTTTTCCCCTATATACATTATTGTATTCATATTATATTATATTAAAGGAGGGGTTTGGGATATTGGCAGTTTGGAGGGATATGTTGTGTATCTTTATACGTATATGCTTCTAAACTGTTGTATTCTGAGCACCTCTGCAAAAACAGTGATAATGTGTGAGTGAGGTGAAAGTGTTGAATGATGATGAAAGTATTTTCTTTTTGGGGATTGTCTTTCTTTTTTGGGTCACCCTGCCTCGGTGGGAGACGGCCGACTTGTTGAAAAAAAAAAAAAATTATATTTAGGAATGAATGGAGATGAATGGCTTTTGGGACCTGATGAGCTGGTGGAGTGTGAGCAGGGTAATATTTTGTGAGGGGATTCAGGGAAACTGGTTAGCTGGACTTGAGTCCTGGAAATGGGAAGTACAATGCCTGCACTTTAAAGGAGGGGTTTAGGATATTGGCAATTTGTCATATCTGAGTGCCTTTGCAGAGACAATGAGTATGTGTGAATGATGGCAAAAGTGGTGAATGATGATGAAAGTATTTTTTTTTCTTTTTGGGTCACCCTGCCTCAGTGGGAGACAGCCAATGCATTAAAAAAAAAATAGTCATAAATAAACATCATGGCATCATGATCAAAAACTACCGCAATTCTTAAAACATCAATTATATACAGTAGTGGTACTGATCTTCTTTCTTTCAACAAACCATCCATATCCCACTGAAGCAGGGTGGCCCAAAAAGAAAAACAAAAGCTTCTCTTTTTAACTTTAGTGATGTATACAAGAGAAGGGGTTACTAGCTCCTTGCTTCTGGCGTGTTAGTCGCCTCTTAAAACACTCATAGCTTACGGAGGAAGAATTCTGTTTCACTTCCCCATGGAGATAAGAGGGAATAAACAAGAACAAGAACTAGTAAGAAAATACAAGAAAAATCAGAGGGGTATGTATATACAGCCTCTCCTCACTTAGCAACGTATTCGTTTACCGACGACTCAGACTTATGACGGGTTCTTGGACCAGTATACATACCTAAATAATGTATGTTAGAGTTGATTTCCTCTGTTCTGTTTATTACAATATACAGTACACTACTGTATAAACATTTAAAAATATACCAGAAATATAAATGGTGCAAAGGTGACATTAAAACAATATCAAAGATTGTTGACACAAACCCACTACCATTATAGTATGCTTCTTACTTAGCGTCGAATTCATTTACCTACATGGTCTTAGGAACATAAGTGAGGAAAGGCTGTATATATGCTTGTGCATGCATGTGTAGTGTGACCTGAGTTTAAGTAGAAGTAGCAAGACGTATCTAAAATGTTGCATCTTTATGAGACAGAAAAAAACACCAGCAATCCTACCATCATGTAAAACAATTACAGACTTCCATTTTACACTCATTTGACAGGACAGTAGTGCCTCCCTGGGTGGTTGCTGTCTACCAACCTACTACCTAGGAGTGGTACTGATATTTGTATATATATTGTTTTTAACACCCACCATGTCCCACTGAGACAGGGTGACCTAAAAAGAAAAAAAAAGATTTTTTTTTAAATTTAGTAATTTATACAGGAAAGGGGTTATATTTACAGTTATGTGCTTATAGTGAGAGTGGTTTTATTATCTTTCTTTAGTGATCGCCATAGACATAGACCCAGTCAAAATTGCACTTGCTCGCCACAATGCTGCTGTGTATGGAGTGGCTGACCGCATTGAATTTATTATTGGAGACTTTTTTCAACTTGTCCCCAGACTTAAGGTAAATGTCCTTTTCTGCTTTACTCCTTTGTAAAAGTGCCAAGAATATATATTTTTCAAGTTTATAATTAAGCCGCATATTTCTTGATGCAGGTTTCATACAAGTTTTATTTTAATTTATAATAATACTTACTGTACTTTCTACTTCAATATCAAAAACATTGTACGTTACAGTTAATATGTATATAGTTTAAAAATGCTGAAATTCAATAACTTTGTACATTCAGGAGACTATGAGATACATTGCCTATGTTGATACATCTGGAAGGCTTGTGATACATAAATAATCTGTACTTTGGAAACTGAAACTCGTTAACTTTTTTTATAAAGGCGTTACTGGCCCAAGTTGGACTGAAATGTCATCATTAACCCTTTGACTGTCGCAACTCCAAATCCTGAGGTGTCTCCTGGTGTTGCAAAATATTTGAAAAAAAAAAAAAAAATTATTTTTTCTTATGAAATGATACAGAATCTTTTCCCGGTGGTAATGACACCAAAAGTACGAAATTTGATGGAAAACTATGGAATTACACTCTTGCAAAGTTATCGACCTCAGCGATATTTACAAATTGGCGATTTCGCCCACTTTGAGCCCTTTTTTCGGCTAATTCCATTGTTCCAGTCAACCAAACTCATAACTGTTTCTTTAGAACTTCATTTGTTCTATTGATTGAGTACAAGAAACTGCCCATTTACTGATTTCAACTACCCAATAAAGTGGTCAGAAATTGGCAATTTGGCCAATTTCATGCAAATTATAAAATATGCCAATTTCAAAATAGGGTCCAGAATGAACAATGCAGACATTCCTGGCTCTAAAATAACACTTTCTGTGTTCATCAGTCACATCTCCTCCTCCTCTTGCTTTCTATTTTGAATTTTTATTCAAACAAAAAATAGAAGATTTACTGTTATGTAGACTACTGCAATATTGTAATAATTGTATAAATAATGTCAACCCATTCATGACTGCATATTAGAATGGCTAGTTGGACATTTATTGGACAATGATGTCATTTGTTTACTCTTGAACATCGGCAAAAATCAAACATTTCCCCTATTTTGAGCTCCATTTCAAGATCCTTTTCATAGTAAAACCAATCAAAATCACCTCTGTTTCTGTAATATATTTTCCATTCTATCAAATGTGACTACGAAAACAAGATTATAACCATAAAAACAATATGAAAATACACCTCAAAGTTGGTGTTTTAATCCAAAAACATGGTCAGAGTTTTTTTCTCATGCGCTGCATGCAGCAGGATTTTTTTTATATAGTGCACACTGACCACACAGACCCATTCCCTCACATGTGGGCCTACCAGCTTTCTCCTGCTTGATTTGAAGCCACTAGAATTTTTGAGTATATGTACATCAAACACATTGGCTCTTAAGACATACATATACGACCGAAACACTCAAAGGGTTAATTTAAGTTTCCTAAGCATAGGTTATCTTTATAGTAGTAGTAGTAGTAGTATAGTGATAATAATAATGATAATTAATAATATTTGCAGTGTGACAGCACATCTGAACTGTAATATCTATGCACCTTTTTTTTTTTTTTCAAGCAAAAGCCTTTCATCTGTTGTAATATTTTCTCCTTTATTCCTTTTATGTAATATTTTGTAGTTTCCAGTTAATTTAATGAAATTGGAAATCCAGGTCCATTAAATTAATTTTTTCCATCTATTTCCTGTATAATTTTTATGACTATTGTTATGGCTTCATAGATCTGATATATAGTACATGATTTTACTAATCTGAAACCATCACAGAACACTAAGTCTGTTACTCCTTGCCCTGAAGGACTAATATAGATTTAATTCCTCAAATATCATTTAGTATAATGTAAGCAGTAACCTTCAGGTATTTTATCAATTTTCTTAATTTTTTTTTAGTTTTTACATCACCACTTATATAGTCTGTTTCTAAACTATTTATATACCTGTCAGACACAGCAACATCTTGGAATCTTGATACAGGGAATTCTTCAACACTTGGCTTAACATATAGACATGACCTATTACGAGTAGTAGATTTTTTCGCTGGTGATGCCGCATCCAACTGCTGAGCCTCACCTGTCTGCAGCATATAAGCCCCTTTTTTGTACATGTCCTGTATTTTAATCAAAATTGTTAAACTGGACACCATTCTTCTCTGTATTGGACTGATGAAGCCACTGGCTGGTGAAACATTTCCACAATACAGATACCCAGATGTTGCACAAGTGTCTCATTCTTCACATCACCACTTGTCAACAGAACATGCCAATAGTTTAAATGCTCTTCCTTATCACTTTTTATAAATATCTGTTGCTTTATGTTTGTCTGCTCATATACAATACCTTGTTAAAGTGCTCCATAAAATTTTGAGAGCACTGTTTTTCTCAATACCCAATATTTCACAGTAGTAGTACAGTGGTACCTTGACTTACGAGTGCCCCAACTTATGAGTTTTCTGAGTTATAAGCCGTCGCTCGGTTGATTTTTTGCTTTGAGTTAAGAGCCAAAATCCGAGTTATGGGTGAGCTTCAAATATGCCGCCAGTCGCAGAAGAGAGGAAATATAAAAAATCTCGATAATAACCAATGTGTAACATCCTTTCAATTTTGATACCACTGATAGTGTCATCCTGCCAGAATGTTCTGTAACGTATGCCCTAAGTAAAGAGAAGCAATTCTAGCGTGTAATACATGTTCAGCAGGCCGGCTGGTTGGGTGGCTGGCTGGCTGGCTGATTTGCTTTGGCTGTCTCTATCTCCTTCTGTCTGTCTGTATCTATCTCTGTCTTTGTCTGTCTCTATCTTTGTCTCTGTCTCTGTCTGTCTCTATCTCACAGGTACACATAAATACAGTTTTTTTTTTTTCAACAAGTCGGCTGTCTCCCACCGAGGCAGGGTGACCCATAAAAGAAAGAAAATCCCCAAAAAGAAAATACTTTCATCATCATTCAACACTTTCACCACACTCGCACATTATCACTGTTTTTGCAGAGGTGCTCAGAATACAACAGTTTAGAAGCATACACATCTAAAAATACACAACATATCCCTCCAAACTGCCAATATCCCAAACCCCTCCTTTAAAGTGCAGGCATTGTACTTCCCATTTCCAGGACTCAAGTCCGACTATATGAAAATAACCGGTTTCCCTGAATCCCTTCACTAAATATTACCCTGCTCACACTCCAACAGATCGTCAGGTCCCAAGTACCATTCGTCTCCATTCACTCCTATCTAACACGCTCATGCACGCTTGCTGGAAGTCCAACCCCTTGCCCACAAAACCTCCTTTACCCCCTCTCTCCAACCCTTTCAAGGACGACCCCTACCCCGCCTTCCTTCCCCTATAGATTTATATGCTTTCCATGTCATTCTACTTTGATCCATTCTCTCTAAATGACCAAACCACCTCAACAACCCCTCTTCTGCCCTCTGACTAATGCTTTTATTAACTCCACACCTTTTCCTAATTTCCACACTCCGAATTTTCTGCATAATATTTACACCACACATTGCCCTTAAACAGGACATCTCCACTGCCTCCAACCGTCTCCTCGCTGCTGCATTTACCACCCAAGCTTCACACCCATATAAGAGTGTTGGTACTACTATACTTTCATACATTCCCTTCTTTGCCTCCATAGATAACGTTTTTTGACTCCACATATACCTCAACGCACCACTCACCTTTTTTCCCTCATCAATTCTATGATTAACCTCATCCTTCATAAATCCATCCGCTGACACGTCAACTCCCAAGTATCTGAAAACATTCACTTCTTCCATACTCCTCCTCCCCAATTTGATATCCAATTTTTCTTTATCTAAATCATTTGACACCCTCATCACCTTACTCTTTTCTATGTTCACTTTCAACTTTCTACCTTTACAGTTATACATAGTGTAAATTACCTAGGATAACCCAGAAAATCCAGACGAAGTGCTATACAGGTGCATATCCCTTTATCCGGAAGTCCTGGGGCCTGTATTGTTTTAAATTTCAGACTTTTTCGAATTTCAGAATGATTCTGAACGTCGCCACATGGTGATGTGACCCAGCACGGAGATGACTGATGCTCCACACCCCATGAAAAACTTAGGTTTTCAGAACTTTTCAAATTTCAGAATTTTGGATAAAGGGATGTGGACCTGTACTATGCTTGTAGATATAAGGCATAATAAGCATGGCTGGCAAGTAATACACATTTTCACTTGTTCAGGAATCAGATGTGATCGACTCTGCATCGTGTGTAATACCTGTTGGTTCATGATTGGCTCTCTCTCTGAGACAGAGACAAGCAGAGAGACAGGAAAACAGAAACACAGGCAAACAGAAAGACAGATAAGCAGAGACAGAGATAAACAGACAGACAGACAGACATATAGAAACAGATAGACAGACATGTTTATTTGTAACAGTGAAAAATAAATCCAAGGCAGTGCATGATCATCAAATGTCACTCCAGGAGTGACACTCCACTGGCAGTGGAGTGACGGATAGACAGACAGAAACAAACAATTAGTCAGACATTCTTATGTGTAACAGTGAAAAATAAAGCTAAGGCAGTGCATGATCATCAAATGTCACTTCAGGAGTGTCACTCCACTGCCAGTGGAGTGACACTCATCTTACACCATGCTTCAAAGAGTTTCACATATACTCCAGCATTTCTAAAACATTGCTGGGACCTGATGAAAGAGACAAAAATCATTTATTATTTATCAATACATTTTTCTTATTTAAAAAAAAACAGTAACAAAAAAACTGGGGTGGTTTTTTGGGGACTGGAACAGATTAATGGCATTTCAATTAACTTCAGTCAGGAAAATTTATTTGATATACGAGCAAATTGAGTTACGAGCTGGGTCACGGAATGAATTAAACTCGTAAGTCAAGGTACCACTGCATTATAATTTTCTTTAAACAATCAATTTTGTTGTGTTTCTCACACAGGCTGATGTCATATATCTTAGTCCCCCATGGGGAGGTATAGAGTACTTTCGTGATGGTACATATGATGTGAGGAACTTGGGTGGAGTGTTTAATTGTGAGGAACTGTTGGCCACTGCAAGAACTATTACTACTGACATTGCACTCTACCTACCAAGGACCAGTAACTTGTATCAGGTTTGGTCACTTTTCTTGTATTAGCCTAAAAATTTCCATTTTTTAAATTTCAGATTGGATAGCTTTTTTTCATGTGTTTCTATTATATTCATAAGCTTGGTGTAATTATGAGAAGGAAGAGATGTGTGGAAAGTAGTGTTAGAAATGAGAAGTCAAAGAAATAAAATTATAAAGTATACAAGTGGGTATCAGATTCATACAAAGATTGTTAAGAAACAAATGGAATGTGAAGATGTATTTTTTTTTTTAAAAAGTCAGCCATCTCCCACTGAGGCAGGGTGACTCAAAAAGAAAATCCCCAAACAAAAAATACTTTCATCATCATTCAACACTTTCACCTCACACATAATCACTGTTTTTGCAGAGGTGCTCAGAATACAGCAGTTTAGAAGCACATACATATAAAGATACACAGCATATCCCTTCAAACTGCCAATATCCCAAACCCCTCCTTTAAAGTGCAGGCATTGTACTTCCCATTTCCAGTACTCAAGTCTGGCTATATAAAAATAACCGGTTTCCCTGAATCCCTTCATTAAATATTACCCTGCTCACACTCCAACAGCTCATCAGGTCCCAATACCATTTGTCTCCATTCACTCCTATCTAATATGCTCACGCACGCTTGCTGGAAGTCCAAGCCCCTCACCCACTAAACCTCCTTTACCCCCTCCCTCCATCCTTTTCAAGGATGACCCCTACCCCGCCTTCCTTCCCCTACAGATTTATACGCTCTCGATGTCATTCTGCTTTGATCCATTCTCTCTAAATGACCAAACCACCTCAACAACCCCTCTTCAGCCCTTTGACTAATACTTTTATTAATGCCACATCCTCTCCTAATTTCCACACTCCGAATTTTCTGCATAATATTTACACCACACATTGCCCTTAGACAGAACATCTCCACTGCCTCCAACCGTCTCCTCGCTGCAGCATTTACAACCCAAGCTTCACACCCATATAAGAGTATTGGTACCACTATACTTTCATACATTCCCTTCTTTGCCTCCATAGATAATGTGTTTTGTCTCCACATGTACCTCAATGCACCTCTCACCCTTTTTCCTTCATCAATTCTATGATTAACCTCATCCTTCATAAATCCATCTGCTGACACGTCAACTCCCAAATATCTGAAAACATTTACTTCTTCCATACTCCTCCTCTCCAATTTGATATCCAATTTTTCCTTATCTAAATCATTTGATACCCTCATCACCTTACTCTTTTCTATGTGATTTATAAATATATTTACACAATGCCCACCTAGCAGTACAGAGTAGATCCTCCTCTTACGACCATAATGCAATCCTGAAAACTGATTCTTACTTGAGTGTTTTGAATTCTGAAGCTATTTTCCCCAAAGCTCTCTTGTCACAATTCAAGATGCATTTCTCAACTATAATTTTTCTTATTTAATTTCATTTATTTTTTAATGATGAAAATACTCAAATGAGTTTGTCTCTTTCCTTTCCACTTACTCCTTCCTATTTCCTTATCTTCATCCCTCTCTTTACCTCACTTGTTGCTGCACAGGCAACAACGATAACATTGCCTTCCTCACTTCCACTGTCACATGCAACTAGCAAAATGCTGCAAGGCTAACAGTTGGGACTACATCCATCACTCCCACTCTCACATTGTATCTGACTCAACAATGCAGCACATGCTCTTCATTCTCTCACTGTTATGGTGAGGGTATTAGGTGCCTGGGCATAATGTATAGGAAGGTAGGGGTGGAGGTTATGGCACATGCCAGGTTGTGTAGTGGGGATTGAAGGGTGGTGGTTAAATCTGAGCTGATCTGCCCACCTCAACAACTAACCAGCCAGACAGCCCATGAGAACATCATAATTATGAAATCTACAGTTCTTCACTTATTTTCAGAAAATTTGTGAGTATACTACACATACACAACATGAGCTTGCACAAAATGTAATGTATGTGGTAGTTAAATAATATATATAATTTAGCTTTATGAGACAGAAAAAGGACACCAGCAATCTTACCATCATGTAAAACAATTACAGGCTTCTATTTCATACTCACTTGGCAGGACAGTAGTACCTCCTTGGTACATCTTGCTACTTTTACCTACGCTTAGGTCACACTACACATGCGTGTACAAGCACACACACACACATATATATATATATATATATATATATATATATATATATATATATATATATATATATATATATATATATATATATATATATATATATATATATATATATATATACACATCCCCTATGGGTTTTCTTCTATTTTCTTACTGAAGCTTGTTCTTGTTTATTTCCTCTTATCTCCATGGGGAAGTGGAACAGAATTCTTCCTCCATAAGCCTTGCATGTCGTAAGAGGCGACTAACATGCTGGGAGCAAAGGGCTAGTAACCCCTTAACCCCTTCTCCTCTATACATTACTAAAGTTAAAAAGAGAAACTTTTGTTTTTCTTTTTGGGTCACCCTGCTTCGGTGGGATATGACTGGTTTGTTAAGAAAAGTGAATTTAGCTTTACAAAATCAAGATATATAATATAGTTCTTGTCTACTCTTTACCAAACAAACATGAACTCTCCATTTTTTTAACACTCCAGCTGTCTCCTACTGAGGTAGCGTGATCCAACAAAGAAGAAAATACTTCCACTACCAGTCAATCACTGTCTTGCCAGAAGCATGCTGACATTGCATTTCAGATGACCTTCCATACTGCAACATCCTCACATCTCCTTCAGAGTGCAGGCACTGTGCTACCCACCTCCAGGGCTCTAGTCTGGCTGATCAGTTTTCCTGAATTCCTTCATAAATGTTACCTTTCTCACACTCCAACATTTCAAATCATAAAAACCACTTGCCTCCACTCACTCCTGTCTAACATGCTAACATAAGTCTGTTGGATATCCAAGCCTCTATCATTTACAGCCTCCTTTATCCCTCCTTCCAACCCTTTTTTAGGATGACACCTTCCCTTAACCCCAGATTGAAATGTCGTACTAGTCATACTGTTCTCCATCCTCTCTTAATGTTCAAACAACCTCAACCCATCCTCAGTCCTCTGAATAATACTGGTAACTCCACACCACCTAATATCCAAACTCGGAATTCTTTGCATAATATTCACCACACACATTGCTCTCAAACATAACATCTCAGCTGCCTCCAGCTTCCTCCTTGCTATAACATTCAAAACCCATACAGTAATGTTGGTACCACTCTACTCTGGTATATTACCCATTTGCCTACATGGATAGTTTTTTTTTTTTTTTTTTTTTTTTTTTGTGTGTCCACAGATACCCCGATGCACCACCCACCTTTTTATCTTTATCAGTTCTATGGATTGTTTCATCTCTAATAGAATTATCCACTACCAGATATCTGACCACATTCATCTCATTTGTACTCCTTCCCTCCATTCTGATATCCAGTGTCTCATTTCCTATGTTTTATGATACTCTCGTCATCTTGCTCTTTCCTATTTTCACTTTAATTTCCTTCTTTTATATACCCTCCCAAATTCATTTACCAACCTTTGCAACTTCTCTTCAGAATCTTCCCAAAGAACCATGTTATCAGTAAAAAGCAACTTTGACTACCCCCACTCCATATCAGTTTCATCATCTTTCAGTCCCACACCCCTTTCCAATACTAGTACGTATTCACTTCTGTTACAACCCCATATATAAATATGTTAAATAATTATGGTGAAATCACACATCCCTGTCCAAGGCCTACTTTTACTGGAAAATAATTTCCCTCCTACATATCCTGACCGGAGCCTTGCTATCCTCAAAGTTCTTTACTGCTTTAAGTAGCCTAACACCTATTCTCTCATACATTTGCAACATCAGCCACATTCTTTTTTGTCCACCTTATATGCCTTTTCTAAATCCAAAAATGCATTGAAAAGTTCCTTACCTTTATCCAAGTATTGGTAACTTTTATGCTTCAGTGCAAAAACTTAGTCTGCACATCCCTTACCATTCCTAAAGCTGCCTTGTTCCTCTGCAATCCTGCTCTCTTGTCTTACCAACAATTCTTTCAGTAATAACTCTACCATACACCTTACCTACTGGTATACTCAAAAAAGTTTATTCTTCTATAATTCTTATACAATACTTCTCCATGGGGAAGTGGAACAGAATTCTTCCTCCGTAAGCCATGCGTGTTGTAGGAGGCAATTAAAATGTGAGGAGCAAGGGGCTAGTAACCCCTTCTCCTGGGGAAACTATCGTTAATCCCCTGCCTCGGTAGTATAAGGCAGTTGATCTTACACTTTTTATATCTTTCCCTTAAAAGAGAAACTTTCGTTTTTTTTTTTTTATAGGTCAGCCCTGTCCGCTCGGTAGTATAAGGCCAGTTTGTTGAAAAAAAAAAAATCTTACACCTTTATACTCCTTTTGCCTATACAAAGAAATGTGATGTTCTTCTTTGCCATCCTTAGGCACCTTTCGTCACTTTCATTAATATAATAATTGAACAAATGCACCAATCACTCAAACACTATATCTGTACCTGCTTTTAATATTTGTCTTAATCCCATCTCCCCCACTGCTTTTACCCCATTTATTCTATCCACTGTCTCATTCACCTCCCTGACACTTGCATTGGGCTCTTTGTTACAAAATGCAACATCTGTTAGCACAGATATCTACCAGAGAATATTAGAAGGTAAACTTATTGATTCCCCCTCTAGCATATAGTCTATTTCTGGTTTTGTAACAGGTCATTAGTCTGCATTTAAAAAACATTATTCTGTATCATATAGGACTTCTCAAAGCACTTTGGTATTACAACTGGATGAATACAAACTAACAAAAATAAAATTTTGAGAGCTTTAATAACAAAAAAAAAAGTCTAGGTTGAATAATATTTACAGTTAAACAGATTTGACCTAGGACGTAGGTTGGTAGACAGCAACTGCCCAGGGAGGTACAGTAGACCCTCTAGACTAATGTCAATTAATCCGTTCCTGAACCAACGTATAGTCAAAAATAATCGTTTATCACATGTTTAATTTTATCCCATAAGAATAATGAAATCAAACTATCCGTTGCAAGAACCGAAGTATTGAAAAATAAGAGAGATTGTTAACTAATGTAAAAATTACATTTTAAGTAGCAACAAACTGAATGAAGGACATCATCAGTTTACATGCACTATACCTTTATTGAAGATCATGGTGAGAATTATGGATGCGAGGAGGGGTATCGTCTTTGAATTCTTAAGTGTTTACAAGGACATGTCCCTGTCCCATTAGAACTTGTCAGGTTGCAGTCCTTCATTTTGAGGTCTTGATTCCTCTTTCGTCTGCTTTTATGGTCCAAATGGACCACTCAGAGTCCACGGACACTCTGTGCCACACATCATAATCTCTCCATAGATGGCCTTATCACTCCATTCCTTACACTAGTTGCTGGCATTTTTCTAATTAAATCGTCATGCAACTTCCTAGCTTTTTCACATATGATCACTTGAGAGATGCTATCTCCTGCTATCTGTTTTTCGTTTATCCATACCAATAACAGTCTCTCAACATCTTCTATCACTTGGATCTCAGTTTCGAAAACATAGTTGCACCTTTGGCAAGAACACCTTCCTTGATTGCCGTTTTCTTGGCCACAGTAGCAGCGATGGTTGATTGGGGTTTTGTGTACAGCCTGGCCAGCTCGGAGACATGCACTCCACTTTCATACTTAGCAATGATCTCTTTCTTCATTAAAAAAAAAAAAAAAAAAAAAAAAACATAGAAAGATTCTCATTTGCTAAGTATGGCAAAGTGAAGTTCATTGGTCTCCGACTATGGCCAGGCTGATCACAAAACCCAATCTTTGTCATACCATATAAATTCTCACCTTTGTTGCTGTGGTGGCCTGAAGCTTTGCTGGGCCCTTGTGAAATATTGGCCAAGTGGCAATCCTAAAAGGCGTGTAATAGAAATGTTCCGATTTTGCTTGAGCGAACCTCGGTGGCAATGCTTTGGATAAACATGGCAAATGGAGCGTTCAGACGACATAGTGTCGAGTTTTAGTTATCAGCAATTTCATCATGTATCGAATCAGATTTCGTATCGATGCCATCGCTGGTCGAGGGTCCACTGTACTACCGTCCTGCCAAGTGAGTGTAAAACGAAAGCCTATAATTGTTTTACATGATGGTAGGATTGCTGGTGTCCTTTTTTCTGTCTCATAAACATGCAAGATTTCAGGTACGTCTTGCTACTTCTACTTACACTTAGGTCACACTACATATACATGTACAAGCATATATATGCAATAAGATCACAGTAAACAGGTGATTTGAGAATATGCAAAACAACCACTGTGAAAGAATAGAGAAATTCCAAGTGCTTTCGTGATTACTCAAATTTCAAGGAACAATGAAAGTAATGCATCAAAGGAAGGCATATAAAGGGTCTAGACCACACCTCACTATCACATCCCACAACAAAGCAACACCTGACGCGCAACTCACAAGAAAGGGAACACTGCAGCAGGCCCGCTGGCCCAACTAGACACCAACAAACTATTCTACCCAAGAATTAAGAATTTTAAAATTTATTATTTGTCCAATGTATTATTAAATTCTTCCCAAATTCTATTAATTATAAATGGATCTAATTTATATAAACCAAAGGAAATATTCATATTATTGTCAAAACTGCTTTTTATGAAACAAGATTCAATTATATTCCTGTCGACCATGGACTTGCTTGATACAACTTTCTCAACTTTTTGAAAATCAATTGGATAGTTAAAATCTCTCACATGAATAAATAGAGCATTGGAATCTTGTCCAGTTCTAATGCTATATTTATGTTGTTTTAATCTTAGTTCGAGATTTTTACCAGTTTGACCGAAATAAACTTTATCGCAAATTTTACAAGGAATCTTATAGACACATCCGTCAGCATTTTGAGGGGAATTCTTTATCAAAAGTTTTTTTTTACTGTATCAAGATTTTTAAATACAACTTTGATATTAAAAGTCTTAAGAAGAGAAGGCATATCAACCAAGTTTTCATGGTAAGGGAGAACCAACATATTTTTAGTTAAATAAGGCTGGTTGTCCCTTTTTGTATTGTAAAAAGTATGTCTAGCAACTTGAAAAGATTTATCATTACCTATTTCATAAATTTTGGATATTTCCTCATCTATGAACTCTGGACTACAAATACGTAAAGCTCTCAAAAACATTGATGAGAAAACAGACAGTTTAACTCTATCGTGATGCGAAGAATAATAGTGGACATAGGAACAGTTATTTGTAGGTTTTCTGTAAATTTTGAAATTGAATTCATTATTACCCTTAATAATTAAAACATCAAGAAAAGGCAATGAGTTATTTTCTTCAAACCCAATAGTAACTCATTTTGTAAGTTTTCCATCAAATTTCGTACTTTTGGTGCCATTACTGTTGGGAAAAGATTCTCTATCATTTCATAAGAAAAAATATTTTTTTTTTTTTTAATTTTTCGACAGAGAGAGTGAGTTAAGGATTAGGGGTCTTGACACTGAAAGGGTTAAAACTACATTATGTATTCCATGTGCTTTAGCATATATGGCATTTCATATCTAGCTTTTTCTTTCACAGATTATTGAGCTTGCTGGTATTGGTGGCACTGTTGATATAGAGCTGAACCACATGGGGAGGAAGAAGAAAGCACTTACTGCCTACTTTGGAGACTTGGCTTATTACTGAAGTGAATCCACTTTATAAAACAGTACAGAAAAGACAAACTGAGGTAAATATCACATATTGTGGCTTACAGGGTCATTTAACCCTTGAGCGGTCCGAACGTATATATACGTTCACTCGCGTAATGCCCCAAATTTTTTGAGAAAAAACAAATCTTTTTTTTTAAAAGGAAAAAAGAGCATATGGTACCCAGGCATCCCCAATTATTTTAATATGGCACCCAGTGAGTGTGCAAATCCATTCTCTCATGTCTAGGTGACTCAGGCTTATTGTGGCAATGTTGAATGAATGACAAAGAAAACGTATATATATGTTGGGGCGCTACGCGCGTGAACGTATATATATGTTTGGACCGTTTAAGGGTTAACCTGTGATGCATATGAACTTTTGGAAAAACAGCTAGGGAATATGTGAGGCAAATGTATTTTGTTCTTTGAGGCACTCTTCCTTGATGTGTTCAGATAAAATGAGGTGGATTAAATAAAAAAAAATAAGAATTTGTGGGATGGAAGTGTAGATTAATTTTTATAGTAAGTGGGGGATGTTAATTCTTGACCAGAGTCAAGTGGGAAAGCAACCGTTATGCAGGAAAATTGAAAGAAAATTCACTGCAGGTTCTAATATTTTTAATTTCAATTGTATTATTACAGTACAGGTAATACAGGTACACATTCCTTTATCCGAAACCCTTAGGGCCAGTAGTGTTTCGAATTTCAGAATGAAGGTGGGGTCTAAGGCAGCACCCCATAATCAAACATTAACACTGTAGCAAAAATGTATGAATACTCACACTAAGTGGGATAAATAAACAATACAAATATTACTACAGTTTATTTATAGAGTAATATATCGATAAATGAAATAATGGAATAATTATAGACCAGGAACATGATTGTCAGGTGATGAAGCAGCACTTTGACAGATGGCTGTTTTCAAGATTTAACTGATCACACATTTTCATCATATCATCTATGGGAATTTTTTTCACCTGTGTTCACAATGTCATCATCATCACTACTATTCTTATGTTTATTTGTATTTAACACCATTTCTTTAAATCATAAACAATGGTAGTTCCAACACCATATTCTTCAGTAAGACGCCGCACTGACACATCACGATCAAGCTTCTGCAGTAACTCTGCTTTCTGTGTTATTGATAATGTCATGTTTTCTTTTCTTTTTCTCATTGTTATCCATAAGGGTATCTGCAGCTCTTTTTGACATTTTCACAGTGAAATTAAAGTCACAAAATAAAAAGCAAAAACAAAATACCAGCAAACACGTGTGAACACTATAAGTGCTAAGACACTACTGACGCCTGCCACTCTGGCTGTCAGTGACTAACGCTCCACTCCCCATGAAAAAACTTTCAGTTTTTCCAAACTTTTCGAATTTCAGATAAGGGAATGTGGACCTGTCACAAAATGAATGGCATTTTTAATGTGTATTTTTATATTTTTGTTTAATGTGACCAGTTAGATTATTATTATAATCAGTATTAAGCATTAAACCCACAAGGGTCATACGGCGCTGAGTGACCAGTTAGAAAAAAGTTTTAAATTACGTATGTGTATACGTATTTTATTATATATGACACAGTACTTTTACAAGAAAATAATTTTGCAGTTTTTATTTATTTTTAGTTGTTACTTTGTAATAAATATTTTGTTTAGAAACAGCACTGCTTGTGAGGTGATAAAGATAACCTTAACAGCAGCACTCAAATAAAAATTGGTTGACACAGCTATTTTTTTTTTTTATCTTCCCCCCTATTTAATTCATTCTTATTGTACATTGATAGTATGGTGATGTAAGATAAAAAAAAAAAAAAACAGCAAAAATGGACCTTTAGCTGTAAGTTTGATCTATATGAGGCTCTGTCCTGTATGTGAAATGTTGTACTAATAAAGGTCTCCTTTTGCTATATGTATATTTCTTTAGCCACTTGGCTATACCAAAATTCAACATGGCAGTACCAACAAGCTATGAATAAAGATACAGTGGACCCCCGGTTATCGGCCATAATCCGTTCCTGAAGGTCGGCTGATAACCGAAATGGCCGATAACTGAATTAATATTTCCCATAAGAATTACAGTGGAACCTCATATTTCGAACATTTCGCTAAACGAACTCTTCGAAAATAGAACCCTTTTCTCGAACCAACTTTGTCCCTATTATCGAACTCGCCCCTATTTTCGAACCGCCAGGTACCGGACCTGTCCGGCAGCCCGCTCTGTCTGCGTCCCCACGCAGGTACTGTGAGCCAGTCTGGTTTTGTTGATGCTTGAGTGAACACTAACCTGCGCTCTCATAAAAACACTTCACGATTATTTTTTGTGTTTAGTCTTGTGGACTGTAAATAGCTACAAGGGGCCCAAAGAAACTTGCTAGTGGTCCCCCCCTGTGGTAAGAAAGTGGAAACCCATAAGGAAGAAGAAATAATACAGAAGGGGAATGATGTCCAAATTTTTGTGGAGAAGTACACCCTGAGCGCTGAAACAAGCCATTTTGCAACAATTTTATGACAGAACCATGTCCCATTTTTAGGGAAATCTTAAAGAAGCCCAAAACAGAGGGCTGTGGACAGTTATTTTTTTGAGACAGGGGTCCATATCTAATGGTCCTAGTGGATTGAAAGACAAAGAAAGTAAACCCCAAGAGGGCTTTTTACCCCAAGCCTATGGAGGGGGGTTCTCCTTCCAAACCTAACCCCAACTCCCTCTCTCCTCCTCCCCCCTATCTTCCAGATGCCATCACCAATCTTCAATAAAGGTAAGTAAAATGTTATTTTATATGTTTATTTAAATTTATTAATACATAATTGAACACTATATTTGTTGTGTGTATGCAAAACTATAATTAATCTCTATAAAATGTATTTTTTTGTGAATATTTTTGGGTTTCTGGAACGGATTAATTTTATTTCCATTATTTCTTTTCAGAAATATTGCTTCGCTTTTCAGACTTTTTGAATTTAGAACTCCTGGAACGGATTAAGTTCGATATTTGAGGTTCCACTGTAATGGAAATATAATTAATTCGTTCCAAACAAAAATATTTACAAAAAAAAAAAAAATTTTTTTTTACAATAATGTAAGTATTACATACCTTTATTGAAGGCTAATGCTGGCTTCTGGAAGATAAAGAGGAGGAAAGAGGGAGGAGTAAGTGTTTGGAAGGGGAATCCCCCTCCATGAAGACTTTAGGTAGTAATGCCTTCTCTGAGGTTACTTCCCTTCTCTGTCTTTTAATGCCACTAGGACCAGCTTGAGAGCCACTGGACCCGTCTCACAAAATAGCTGTCCAGAGTGCTCTGTTTCTGGCGTCTCTAAGATTTCCCTGCCCCAGCCGGCGGATGGACGCGTCCAAAACGGCCGATAACCAAGCGCCAATAACCGAGTTGGCTGATAACCAAACCGGCCGATAACCGGGGGTCCACTGTACCATTTGTGACCAAATGTTTGTTTTAATAACATACTGAAATGTACATTAGTATCTTTATCCATTGTTGACATTCATTTAGTATACACCTCTAATCTGAACATCTTGATATATTTAATACTGTAAGGTATACTGTAGTTATTTTATGCAGGCTTACCTTTATCCTTTCCACTGTACATAGAGTAATGACCAGTAACAAAAAAAAGAAAAAAATAGTGGCTGTTCTGAAAGGGTACCTTAATGCCAGTGAAGGACTCTTGATTCAAGGAATTTGTGCTATCCTCCTCTTAAATCTGATTGCCTCTAATTTCCCAGGCACTGTGTGACCCTTACAGGTTTAGTGTTCCCCTATAATGATAATCTACTGAAGTATTCATATGTTTACGTAGTTTTGATACAAGAATTTGCACAGTTCGAGTCTTACTCTAATCCTGTCTACTTTATTTTGAATCCTGAAATTTCACAAACCATGTGTGGTGTGCCTTGTGGGTCATACATTAAACATTTTGTAATTTATCACTATCAATTTAGTCACAGAAACAGGTCTTATGTAATGAATCTTGCAGAATACAAGTAAAATATATAATTTTTTTCATAAAAATATTTCCTTTTATGGATTACAGTGGAACTCCAGATTTCGAACACACTGAATATCATATGTTTCGGATTTAGACCACTTTTTTGGGCGAAATTTTTGTCCAGATTTCATACCTCCATCTCAGATGTGTCCGCCCGCCCGGGATGCTGCCGCTCATGCATAGTGTCTCAGTCTGGCTCTGTCACTGGTCAAGTGAGCATTACTTCACTTAACTATTGAGTGCAACTGCAAAATAAGCCACCATGGGCCCAAAGAAAGTTCCTAGTGCCAGTCCTTTGGTATAGAAGGTGAGACACATGATAGAATTCAAGAAAGAGATTGTATAAAAATATGAAGGTGGCGTATGTTAGTCAAGCTTGCCAGGATGTATGGGAAGTCGAAATCAATAATCTGTTCCAGCCTGACAAAGAAAGTAGAAATCAAGGAAGCTAAAGTTACAAAAGGGGTAAATATGCTAAAGAAACAGAGATCACAAACAATCGAAGATGTGGAGAAGTTGTTGCTGGTGTGGATCAACAAAAAAACAGACTTTATTATGTACCATTATTGGTGATTTAAATGTTTATTTATCCATTTCATTAGTGCTTTATATTTATTTCTCATTTTTTCTGTATGTAAAACTGTAGTTATTCTTTAAAAAATGTATTTTTTTTTTTTTAATATTTTTGGGTGTCTGGAACAGATTAATTGTATTTACATTATTTCTTATGGGAAATATTACTTCAGTTTTCATACGTTTTGGATTTAGACCAACCTTCTGGAACGGATTAAGTATGAAATCCGGGGTTCCACTGTACGTATATCGTATTACCACAGTATGCTAGAATCAGAATGAATTGTTATCCAGGGATTTCACAATGTACAAAATATAAGGTAATACTATATACCATATGCTCTGCAAAGTACAGGATGCTGTGATGACAATATAAGAATCTGTCATTTGTAGTATACCATTCCCAAAGTTACAGATTTTTTATTATAATTATAATATAAAAGAAGCTCTAAACCTACAAGGAGATTTTAGTGTTGAATGCTATTATTATAATTATAACTAAAGTGTTATTGAAAGCTATTAGGATAATTTGTTACATCTTTGTCGACTGATCATCAGTAAACATAAATTATCATTCACTGTTCTGTTTGTAAAATCAGTTTGACTTAAACATGAAGGGTATCCTCTTGAGCCAAGGAACTGAAACTTATTCTGCCCTTGGATCAGAGGCATCGCTAGGGTTGGTGTCACCCAGGACGGCATCTTTGGTGTCACCCCTATGAAATCCAAAGGCAGGGGGATGGGGGGGAGTAAACTCCAGTTACGTCAGTACTGCATGCCCAGTAACTAATGTTTAGCAACTAGAACATTTAAAGGTCAACTGAACAGGAGAATACTTCTCAACTTAATTAATGATAAAATAAATAATCGTAGTAATATTGAGGAAACAAACTCAAATACCACTCTGAGTACAGGCAACAGATCCTACATTTATTCATCTTCAACAATGCCCCCAAAAAAAACTTGAAAAATAAAGAAAAACATTGCAATATCAGAGAAACACATCTCAGTGAATCTGATCGTACATTTCCTTGCCTTCAATCCTGCAAAATCATCTATCACATCATCAAAATCAATGATTTTCCCTATACTGACCTATTTGTACTCTGTAATCATATAATAGGCTATACAGAAATGAAGGATTCTTCTCTTATGTTGGTGCAGCACTGTTTTGGGCTCTGTAGTGTCACCCTCTAAATGGTGTCACCTGGGGCATCTTCCCCCTGCCCCCCCTTATGACACCACTGCCTTGGATCAAATCTAATTACAATACCTCCTATTCCCCAGACCCTGTACCCCCACAAATATAATAAACTTTGTATATTTTTATTTAATTTGGCTGCTCAAAAACCAGGATACATTGAATAAAAAAATATGTTTTTTTCTGACCATGGTATTTGGGTGATGGTTTCTAAAGGGAGGCTCTTGGATGCTGGTGAGGGGCTCTTGATCCAAGGAGTAGGACTTATCCAGGGCTCTCAATCCAAGGAACAGGACTTATCTTCTCCGTCCTTATATTGAACCTGATTTCGTTTCGTTCCCTGGGCATTGTATGATCCCCTTATTTTTAGCACTTCCTTCCGAATACAGTACGTATATCAATAAAAACTTGTTTGATGGTTTTTGTAGAAAGTATCAATGCAGGAAGCAAATCAAACAGCAGTGTGGTGGGAGTGATCAGGCTTTGCTTTGCTTCTCATTCTCTCCATGTTCAGCCACCTGTTAATAAATAAATATGTACTATATAGTGCTTTACATAGACTAAACTTGCGTTATCAAGAAATATGAGTACTACTGTGTTGTGTTGTAAACACTGACTAGATCAATGTGACTGATTTAATGATGATCTGTGTTAAGTGTGTAGCATGTTAATTTGAGTAGTACAGTATAAGAATTTGATATCTTGAATTATAACACATGCAAGGGAAAATATATATGCTAACAGAACAGAGTGAGTAAAACAACAGTTTTGTCAAATGTGACTATTCAATTCAAGGTCTTAGAGTACAAGTTGGAACAGTATTATCCAATTGGCCCTTTAATGCTGGTGATGAGCTCTTTATCAAAGAAATTAAAGCAACCCTTCCCTCCAATACCCTTGATGCTGTATAATCTCTACTAGTTTAGTGCTTTCCATATAAAAATGATCCAATTGGCCAATAATGGTAATCAAGCTAGGAAACTAATAGAAGAATACAGACTTAGCATCTTGACCTGTATGTGATTTCAGCTTGTGTAGTACATGAGAGGAATGAACAGTATAAAAAAAAGGTGGCAAAAGAGAGAAAGATTGAGTGGAGAGAGAATGCAAATGAAGAGGAAATTAGGTTATTCATCACATGTGCAAATTTTGCCAAGAATAAGAAAGTGTTTGTGAGAAATAACATGAAGAGGCTTTGGGATCAAATAGCCTTATGAGTTACATGGTGAGGGAGGTACTGGAGAGATGGCCAGAATATTTTAAGGAGTTGCTAAACACGGGTGATAAAACAAAAACAATCAAAGAAACTGTTTCTATAAAGTGTAGTATTCCATATTATACAATTAAGGTGCTGTATGACCCTTGTGGGTTTAGTGCTTAGTTATTTTAATAATAATACAATTACAGTGAGTGACATACTTAAATTATAAAAAACCTTGTTTTGCAAAGCATTTCATGAGCAGAGATTTCATACATGAGGGAGGAAGAAATAGAGAGCTAAAGGAACTGGGCAAGGCAATCAGCAGGTTGAAAGCAGTGGGAGTTGGATGGGATATGATTTAAATTACTAAAACCAAGTGGGAATTTAGTTTTGCAATGGTACAATTGTTTAATATATAGGTATGTATGAAAGAAGGAAAAGTACCTAGTAATTGGTAAAAAGCATACATGGTTCCTTTGTATAAGAGAAAAGAGAATTTGAGAGAGTTTAAATTACAGAGGATTAAGTCCTAAGTATACAGTACCATGTCAAGTGTATGGCAGAAATCTTGTGGAAAATGTTGCCTGAAAGACACAGTAGTAAGATGGCAGAGGAACAAGGTGAATTTAAACAACAGGGAATGTGTGGATTAAGAGTTTGCAATAATGCTCATAAGTGGGAAATACTTCAATATAGGTAAGAAGCTGTTTGTTGCAGTTCTATATTTGGGAAAAGGCACAAAGAGTGGATACTTTTATATTTATGGAGGAAGAATGAAATGGGAATGGGAGTTATGTAGTTTCAAGATATTAACTCCAATTTCTTGGATGAAGGCATGCCCCTTGAAGGAAACAGGGTAGCAGTAAGTATGCAAGATGCATGCATTAGTAGAGAGAGAGAGAGAGAGAGATTTTGGGAAACGTTGAGTGAATGCATGGGGAGTTTTGAATCAAGTGTGAGAGTAATGGTGGTTGGGGGTTTCAATGCTAAAGTGGGTAAAAATGTTGTGGAGGGAGTAGTAGGTAAATTTAGGGTGCCAGGGGTAAATGTAAATGGGGAGCCTTTAATTGAGCTATGTGTAGAAAGAGATTTGGTAATAAGTAATACATATTTTATGAAAAAGAGGATAAATAAATATACAAGGTATGATGTAGCACGTAATGAAAGTAGTTTGTTGGATTATGTATTGGTGGATAAAAGGTTGATGGGTAGGCTCCAGATGTACATGTTTATAGAGGGGCAACTGATATAATCGGATCATTATTTAGTTATAGCTACAGTTAGAGTATGAGGTAGATGGGAAAAGAGGAAGGTGGCAACAACAAGTAAGAGGGAGGTGAAGTGTATAAACTAAGGAGGAGGAAGTTCGGGTTGAGATATAAGCGACTATTGGCAGAAAGGTGGGCTAGTGCAAAGATGAGTAGTGGGGGGGTTGAAGAGGGTTGGAATAGTTTTAAAAATGCAGTATTAGAATGTGGGGCAGAAGTTTGTGGTTATAGGAGGGTGGGGGCAGGAGGAAAGAGGAGTGATTGGTGGAATGATAAAGGGGTGTGATAAAAGAGAAAAAGGTAGCTTATGAGAGGTTTTTACAAAGAAGTGTTATAAGAAGAGCAAGTATATGGAGAGTAAAAGAAAGGTGAAGAGATTGGTGAGAGAGTGCAAAAGGAGAGCAGATGATAGAGTGGGAGAGGCACTGTCAAGAAATTTTAATGAAAATAAGAAAAAAATTTGGAGTGAGTTGAACAAGTTAAGAAAGCCTAGGGAAAGTATGGATTTGTCAGTAAAAACAGAGTAGGGGAGTTAGTAGATGGGGAGATGGAGGTATTAGGTAGATGGCGAGAATATTTTGAGGAACTTTTAAATGTTGAGGAAGAAAGGGAGGCGGTAATTTCATGCACTGACCAGGGGGAGATACCCTTTTTTAGGAGGAAGAAGAGCAGAATGAAGTGTGGGGGAGGACGTTAGCCCTTACTAAAAAAAAGGGGGAAAAAAAAGCAGTTGGAACTGATGGGATATGACAAAAATGTTAAAACGGGGGGTATATGTTTGGAGGGGTTTGGTACCTTTGTTTAAAAAATTTATGAAAGGGGGGGAAGGTGCTAGGGTTTGGGCAAGAGCATTAAAACCCTTTAAAAAAGGGAAAGGGGACAAAAGAGATTGAAAAAAAAAATTATAGGGGAAAAATTTTTTTACTGGTATAAAAAAGGAAAAGTATGGAAAAGGGGTTATAATTGAAAAAATAGAGGTAAAAAAATTAGGTTTGTGGATGAGCAGGGAGGTTTCAGATTGGGTGGGGGATTTTAGAACAAGTTTTTACATTGAAGCATTAGGGAAAACAGAATTTAGATAAAGGGGGGAAGTTTTTTTGCATTATGGATTTAAAAAGCAATGATAGAGTGGATAGAGGAGCAAGGGCAGATGTTGCAAAATAGGAATAGGTGGTAAGTTACAAATGCGTAAAGAGTTTTTATGAGGGTAGTGAAACTCAGGTTAGGGGTGTAGAAGGAAGGGAGAATCTTCCCCGGAAAAGTAGGTCTTTAACAGGGATGTGTAATGCACCATGGTTGTTTAATATATTTTTGAGGGGTTTTAAAAGAAGTAAATGTAGGGTGTTTGGGAGAGGGGGGATTAAAAATTTTGGGGAATAAATTTAAAAGGGGAATTTACACGTTACTTTTTTCTGATATACTGTGCTTTTGGAGATTCTAAAAAAAAAATGCAAAAGGGTTTTGATGATTTGGGAAGTGTGTAAAGGTAGAAAGTTGAAAGTGAACATAGAAAAGAGTAAGGTGAAGGGGTATCAAATGAATTTTGATAAAAAAAAATTGGATATCAAATTGGGGGGGAGGGAAAATGGAAAAGTGAAGTTTTCAGATACTTGGGATTACGTGTCGGCGGATGGTTTAGAAGGATGAGGTTAAAAGAATTGTGAGGGAAAAAAGGTGAGTTGTGCATTTAGGTTATGTGGAGTCAAAAAACGTTTTCTAAGGCAAAGAAGGGAATGTATGAAAAAATAGTATTACCAACACTCTTAATGGTGTGAAGTTTGGGGTGGAAAATGCAACAGTGGGGAGACGTTGGGGCAGGGGAATGTCCGTCTAAGGCAATGTGTGGTGTAAAATAATACGAAAATTCGGAGTGGGAAATTAGGAAAGGTGTGGATTTAAATAAAGCTTTAGTCGAGGGAAGGGGGTTTGTTGGGGTTTTGGTCTTTGAGAAAATGGAAAAAAGTAAAATGACATGGAAAGCATATAACTTTGGGGAAAGGAAAGGGGGGTAGGGTCCCTAAAAGGGTTGGGAGAGGGGGGGGAAAAGGGGTTTTTGGGGCGGGGGCTTGGATTCCAGCAAGCGGCGTGCGTGTTAGAAGGAGTAAAAGGGAAACGAATGGACTTGGGGACCTACGTCTTTGGTGTGAGAGGTAATTTTAGTGGGGATTCAGGGAAACCCGGTTTTTTTTCACATAGTCACTTGAGTCCGGGAAAAAGGGAAGTACAATGCCTGCACTTTGAAGGGGGGGGGGGGAAAATTTTGGCATTTTGGGGGTATGTTGTTTTATTTTATAGTAAGCTTCTAAACTGTTTGTTTCTAGCACCTCTGCAAAAACAGTGTAATTTGTGATGGGTGAAAGTGTTAAATGATGAAAAAGTATTTTTTTCTTTTTTGGTACCCTGCCCGGGGGAGAGGCCGACGTTAAAAATAAATAAAAATTTTGTATGACCTGAGCCCTGGAGAGAGTTTGGGGGGTCAACGCCCCCGGGGCCCGTTGGGCCCGGGCCTCCTGGTGGTCAGCGCCGATCAACCAGGCTGTTGCGCGGCTGCCCCAAACCAAACGACGAGCCGCAGCCCGGGTGACGGGAACGTTTTGGGTGCTTTCCAGCCCCACTGAAACTCCCAGGGGTCTTTTGGAAACCCCCCCTTATGTGGGGCTGGAGGAGTTGAAACGTTCGGGCCCCTGACATTTGTATGGTCCTTAAACGTGCTATACACCCCTGCTTTTCTTTGGGGGGGATGGTGATCGTCTACCAATTTCTGCTTTCGTAGGAGTGATTTTCGTGTGAAATTTCGGTACTAGTCCCTCGGTTTTTCCAGGTGTATAAATCAGTATCTTCCCTCCTGCTTTCCAGGAATCGGGTTTAAAAACCCCAAAAGCGCTCCCGAAATTGGGGTTTTTTATCTCCGTTAGCGCGCCGTGAAAGTTCTCTGTACATTTTCTGGGCGCAAATTTTACCTGCCCTTTAAAGGTGTGTTTTTGGCAGCAATATTCCAGCCTAATAGAACAAGTGACCTGAAGAGTGTCATCATGGGGGTTGGGCCCCC